TATGTACAGTCGGATATGCAGCGGTGTTTCATGGGTTTATACAAGACAAGCGGCTTTGCAATGGACATTGCGGAGCGGCATAGGTAGCTGGCTAGTCATTACTGATTCTTGGCATGTACTGTAATCTACAACATTCTACATATCTTTTCAATATCGATCCCGACTCTCCCTCTTCGATGTTTGTGTTGCGTAACTGTTCTTATCTCTCGATCGAAACTTGTCGCACATCCTAGGGAAGTCGCGCAAGTCTTCCCAATACCTTTAAATTTACGCACATATAGCGCGGGTTCTGCACGCGCACACTGCCTCGAGACTTTTGTTTGCGAATATTGTCAATATTTAGATTTTCATGTGAGCTGTGGTTCATACGCCCGAACGGCATGAAGGCCTGCGCATCGCTTGTTTGTGCCTAACAAGCGGAAATACCGGTCTCTCAGCAGCATAACGTGAATCGCACGGCTTTCGACGGCGAACAATCGCGTCACAGACAATAGCCATTGTTCGAGTAGCTCTTCGTGAACTCTGGTATTGTCACGTAATGAGTCAAATATCGAGAGTCACATACAAGAAGTCAAGAGGAGAAAGTCACCAAGATGGAGTCACATGCGATTCATGAAGGCCGAGGGCGTTTGTCACTGCTAGATATAAATAGTTAGACGTGCTGTACTTTTCCTTCTGCAGACCACCAACAACAACTACAACTACTACTTCCACCATTCCAACGTTGTATCAAAGCTCCAACAATCTACTGCCGGCCAGTAGCTTACTCATATACTCTCGAACTAATCGAACACTCGCACGCTCGAACACTCGAACACTCGAACACGAAGATATCCCAACGTATACCTAGTCAATCACTATGTCGACCAACCGCGCCGGCGAACCCTATCCAAGCGATATAAGGAGAGAAACTAAAAACGGAGAAGAACGGGCTGGGGAAATCGTTGCTGCAAATCCTTGGATAGTGGGACAGGTGAAAATGGACTTTATTCGACATTTCGCAACCTTTTGGGTCGCCCTTTGGAGACTCAAGTTCGATTTAGCCCGTGTAAATGGTATCCGAGCGAAAAGAAATACGGAAGCCGAACTTCACACCATGCTCACGAAAACTTGCCACGCGGTTTGGCAAGGGCCACCCCCTGGAGATCTCTACATTCCAGGAGTCGCTAGCTCTAGAGGGAAGGAGCGTGGTGCCTATATTTATCCAACCCCAGCATCTATCCGGCTTTTCACCAATGGAGATCTACTAAGCGAGATGAATCCAGATGTAGTGCGCAGCGTCATGCAAGGTACTACGGGCGGTGTCGGGGCTACGCAATCAGGTACTCTACAAACAAGACAAGCATCGTCAACACAACAGCTTGGGAATCAACATGTAGGGTATTCTACACAACCGCCACCTCAAGGTACTTCTGGTAGGGCCAGTCGCCAGGAAAGCCCTTGGGACCCTGTCGCCGAACTGGCGAAAATTCTCGATGATCCTGAAAATCAACCTCAGAATTATTCTCGCAATGAAAATCCGGTGAACCCACCATCGAATTATCCCGGAACCGCAAAAGCGTGGGGAAAAACACCCGCAAGCGGCCACAGTGGTGCCTCTTTCAGCTCGTGGAGCGCACTTAATACGAGAGTAGCCAACAGTGCTCTGCAATCTGGATTTCCACCGCCACAGCCACATCCGCCACATTCTACAGCCCCTCATCATGATAGTTCACATACACCACGAGTTAATGCACCAGCACCCACCAGCGGATACGGAGGTGTTCTACAAGCACCCACCGGCACACCACAACATACTATAACATCTGCAGCGGGTGGTAGACACCAAGGTATTCCCCCAGCACCCACCGGTACACCACAACATAGTATAGCACCTGCAGCGGGTGGTGGACGAGGCTACAGCCAAGGATCCGCCCATCCTAACCCTGTAAGTAGAGGTAGAGGCGGAAATTCTAGAGGGAGGGGGCGCGGGAGGGGACGCGGTACCTAAGGTTAAGATGCATGGTACATAGTACGTGGAATCGGAGATGGTATAAAGGGATTGCCGGCGGTGTTATTCATTCCTTGCGTGCGCGTTGTTTCTTGCTTGGCATGTGGAGATTCAATTGCTTCTCTGTTTACGGAACAATGGTTTACGGACGGACAAGGTCGTCCGTTCTCTTTCCTTTGCTCATTGCGGTCGGTATATCGGATAGGCTTTCTGGAAAGGCTTTGTTTATCATTACGTGTTTATAGCGTGGGCGTTTCGGTATCAGGTCGGTGGTTTGCGATGGTTGTGAGAGCGAGTTTTCCCACAGCGGGCGTGTTTATAGTATCGGAGGGTTAATGATGGGATTGGAGAATGCGGACGTGTACATAGCTAGACGAAAATATGAAAATACAAAAAAACGATACAAGGGTATTCATGCGCTGGAACTGATGTGGCGACGATGGCGCCGAGCGCATGGATGGTGGGTGAAGAGTAGAAGGAAAGGCGGCCTCCGCAAAGACCAACGATACGCAATATTAAACTAGTATGTTGGAAACGATAGCACCGAGCAGTATAATCCACGCAACGGCGAACAACACACGCGATGATGAAGGAAAGAGCACCACGGTGGTGGTCGGAGACGTGACGTGTCGAGACCACGCTAACAGCTTACGTCATCAACCTCGGTGGTTCCACCATGAGGTCACAATCTCGTTCCGCAACCTCATGCCACACCCTCATCCCTCATTGCACAGCCCTAACCCATAACGAAGGACAGAGTGCACCTTTGACTCACACTGGGGCCTAGTCATGGCTAGACCTCATTACGCAATCCCATCCCACAGGCACGTTCCTCATTCCACAACGAAGGACAGAGCGTGCCTTTGACTCAGAATGCGACCTGGTCATGGCTACACCTCAGTCCGCAATCACGATGCCGATCATCATCGTCGCCACGCGCACCCAACGCGAACACTACCGCCACACCCAGCGCCAACCCATACATTCGCATCCTGATGTTTCGTAGAAATGACGCGTTTGTCTCTTATTTTTGAGACACGATGACAGCGTCATGCAGATAGTGTCACGAACCACCGTTACCGAATATCTCCCCCCCCAATGTAAACAATCAAAGCACCCTCGCGAAAAGACCCCTTGGGCTCGAGACGCGATGACAGCGTCATGCAGATGATGAAGCGCGTCTTTGGTGAAGATCCAGAGAACGCGCGAGCGCGCAGGAACATGAAGATTTTGACAATAGCATTCGGAACGAGGACATCACTTTGTGAGCCAGTGGTTTCGGTCACCCGCAGCTGCGAGATGATATAGAAAGTAGAGAACGCGTGAAAGATGACGGGTTTTATACTCGAGCACCGCATCCGACGCTCTCGTCGTGATTTTCTTCGTTGTCGAGTTTTGATGCAGCGCAGGCGAGACGCGCAGGACATGCGCCTTTTCCTTTCTTTGCTTTTGACATTGGAAGTACAGCGCCATGTCCACAGACGCACACATGGGTCTTAACGCGCTTGGTTTTAGTGCCACCATCGTTATTGTTCGAGTTGATTTTGATGTAAGAGTTGGAAGGCAGGGCGAGACAACCATCGGTTGAACAGAACTGAGTTTTGGGCGCAGACATAGATCTCAATTCGCCCCATTTTAGTAAAAGGTAGAAAGAAGAGTGTGTGACAACAAACTTCCCACAATCCCGATCGAAGCTTTATATCTGTCATCAACACTAGTCTCGACCATATCGTGGAGCCAGCGCAGTCGGAACAGCACACATCATCATCCTGTAAAAGCGTTTTGGAAAAGGTTTTGCATCAGCGTGCGGGCAAGTCCACAGCACATGGTCTGGTTGGTACGTTCTTTCAGCCACTCACATATCGAGTGACTCGATTAGTTTTGAATAGAGAAGGAAGGAGAGACAGCGCTCAACATGCCGGGTCGATATCTCGCTTTTAGTCGACCAGGCCAGCAGATCATGATGTGACTGTTAATGATTTTTTGGAATGTGACCCAGGGAAAGAAGGATGTAAGATAACAAGACCGGTTGCAAAGTCGACGTAGATATAGGGAGGAGAAAACCAGGCGAGCACATCAGCATCTCAGCTCCCCATTTTGGGTTTCGCAACATCCACAATATTGTCATGACTTTTTGGTGTGGTTCCGACAACATATATCCATCCCGCGTGTCATTTCGGTTGCCCGCTTTGAAAAGACTAAGAGAAGAAAATCTCTGCTCTGCACATACGAGCCATTCAGGTATGATTTTGGAAAGAGGAAGAAGACCGAGAGACAGACATGCTACACGTGACTCTCCGTTTTTTGGACAAAGCACCATATATGCGCCGCAGTGCGTTCTTGAGAAGAGACCCGGAAAGTAGGTATATGATGAAGAAGAAGATATGGTGCGAAGGTGGGGTTTATATATGCGTCCACGGTCTGCCATGTCACGTGCATCAATCTCTTGACGGCGATGACGGGAATGAGTGAGTAAGTCCAGATTCCAAAGAACAAGGACGCAGAAAAGCATGCTCAGTCTAGCAACGCGCATCAACATATCACGGATTGACCAAGAGGAGGTATGTTCCAAGATGAGTAGATTGCATGCCTCAGCCGCTGCATGTTTTGGTGCTAGAAGAAGTCCCAGATATTCCGTTCACCGCTCGCAAAACACGACTTTTGAGATGATCAAGATGATAAGCAGCAAGTCAAAAGAGTCGATCGCCCAAGTCATGTCCAGCCTACTGCCTCGGCTGGCACCAGAACTCATAGGTATATCGCAACGCCTTTTGTTGGCTACCAGTTCCGTAAATTGATCGCAAACAATCGCGCAGAACCCCGAAAGCAAGATCCACACCAAAACCCATCGCCCAAATAGTGCATGCATGCAGACTTCATCCAGCGTTCATCGCAGGTATGCCAGAAGCGTAACCATCGCTCCACGCCCTTCTCCAGAAGCTCGTCAAGCGGATGTTCAGGGCTCGCCGCCGTGCGCGTCATATACGCCATACTCATCCCCACACCCCGCCTAAAGCTTCAACGGCTTCCTGTAGAACGGGCCGCGGTAGTTCTCCAGACCACCTTCACAGTCCACTCCCAGGAACGGGGATCCGTAGTCATTTTTTAGAAACCGCCTGTCCTTCTGATCAACGTGAACGCCTTCTTTCATCGCCGTCTCAGATAACCGGCCGTTCAGACATGCAATGTCCAACTTCTGCGGGCCCAGCTTCTTCAGGATGTTAACGTAGATCTCCTTCAGACGAAGGACTTCCTCGCGCTGGCGACAAAATCTGAACCCATAGTCGCGCTGGAGACATGCAGGCGGGTCGTCATCGGCGGGGTCTTGAATAAACTGTCGTAGGCGCCAGACAGTGGAGCGCTTGTGTGGTGGTGTGGTGAGAAAGGTTTTGAGGTAGTGGAATATGTCGCGGAAATGGCTGTATTCGTACTTGTCGAAAAGCTGGACGATGGAGTTGGTTTCCAAGGCAGTCTGCAGTTCGCGGAATGCGGCTTCGGGGTCTTTGGCCTCCTTCAATATTGCGACGTACAGCCCTGCTAGCTGCCTTTCTTGCTCTTCATCTTTGGCGGTCACGAAGCCGAAACTGAACCATGCGGCTGTCTGCATCTGTAGCAGCCTCTCTCTGAGGACGGTGCCGACGAGTTGTGCTGTCTCGCGCTTGGTTGCGGGCTGCAGGCAATGGAGTGCAAGGCCTCGATCCTTTTGATTGAGGTAAGGCTGCACCACGGTCATCAGCGAACCGAGGCTGGTGAGAGCTGGCTGAGGAGGAGGAGGAAGAGGAGGAAGAGGAGAGGGTAAGATAGGTGCTGCAATTGCTGTTTCGGTCGCTGTCGCTTCGTACCGCTGTTTCCGCTTCGACATCTCTTTTTGAGGTGGCGAGGAGGGCTTGCTGGCGTTTGGTTGCGTCGGAACCGCCAGAGGAGTTGTGAAAGATACGTTCTTTACCGGCGACTGAGGCCTCAAGTGGAAGTTGACCTTCCTAAATGTCTGCGAAGATCTAGCAGCCCGGACCAGGGTGCAGTAGACACGTTCGGGAAAGCCGAGGGCGCAGATGAGGTCGAACAACTTGTTGGCGAAGTAAGTCTTCTCTAGGAGGTATCGTAGCCGATCCCGTAGATTGTGATTTACCCTAGTCATAGTTGAGGCGAACTGGACGAGCTTGTTCAAATCTCTCATTGAGCCATCGAAAGCATGGACGTCGTGAGATAGCCTGATGATTTCATCGCCAAGTTCTCGATCAATCATCGAGCCTTTGGCGTTAGCGTCATCGATGCCGAACATTCTCGTAACGAGCTCTTCAAACGTATCCTGGTTTTCTTCGAAGCCCTCTTGTATACGTCGTATGACTTGTTCGACTCTATTATAGTTGTGAATGAGAATGACATCCCATAGTTCCGAGCATGCGCGATCAAGTGGCGCCCCTAGAGATGTTAGCCATGGACGCTTGTAGTCAGGTGTAGCATACCAGACGGATGCGTCGCAACAGCGGCCAGCCCTTCTTCGAGCTCGCGCACGAATTTCCGTAGTCCTTCATCGAGCGCAATGTTTGGCCGGGATGACATTTTGTCTCTCGTCAAGAAAATATCTGTAGCGTTGCCGTTGGGTGCCTCTCGTATGTTCGCTGCGGTGCCTAGCATCTTCGATAGGCGCCTAAGGAAGCGATCCTCGAGGCTTAACGGTATGCCTAGTCCCTTTGTCGGTACGATGCCGGTCGAGTCGTCGATGAGATCATCCTCGACGAAGATGCCATAGGGACTTTCTTCGCAAGGTTTATTCCGAGGCGCTACGCTCGCTGATTGCTGCAGTTGTGAGGCCATGTTACCGGGGTAATGGGTGTCCTTCCGTTGAAGTGAGACGTAGGTTCGAAATAAGGTAAGTTATCGTTAGAAGTATAGGTTAAGTGTTTGGAGCGGCGCCGTCTTGGTATTGACCTGCACCGCCAGTCAGTATACACATCTCTCAAAGTGTTTGGAGACAGAAAGACTCACCGCTTTGATTCGCAATCTCGTAGAGCGCACTACTACACTGTAGTTGCTGTCTCTCTCGTTCGAGTATACCTTTCCGCTCGATTGTGGTCGACTTTCCTGCTGTATCGAACTATCGTGGAGGGTTACTCCGTAAGTTTTATCGCAAAGAGGTGGGCAACGACGGTTGCTCTTCAGTGCAATCCGAGTGTGGTGTAGGAGATACTGAGATCCAGGCTGAGACGTTGATATAGACGACGGCAGCGGTGACTGAGGCGGCTGCCTTTACCTTTACTTCGGGTCGCCGTCACGCCGGGCCGCAGTGACGTAATGCGCTCGCCATGTATTGGTAGGAGGACCGCGAGAGGATAACAAGAGGCGGAAGGTAAGAGAGCGGTATGTCTTGGAGCCAATCTGGGCCAATCCAGCGCGTTTGGCCCCGGAAGGAGCAGGAGCGAACGGCAAGAACCAAGATGATGGAACGAGAAGACGGTGTGAGAAAGGGACAAATATGGAAGTCGCTCATGTGATACTTTCCATGAGCTTCTTACATTGAACACAGGAAAAACGGAAAAGACGCTGCAAGCGATGTTAATCCTACAACAACTAAGCCCGCGCTAAAACATGCAACTACCATTTCTCCTCCCCCCCCCAATCCCCACCTCTTTCCCACTCACCCGTCTACCCCCCAAACCCAAACACCTCGGCCGTACTCAACATACTCATCCTAGTCCCCCACAGCGCAATAACAATCAACACCACATCCACCACCAACAGAACCACAGCACCAACCATAAACCTCGGGCAAAAAATCCTATAAAGCATAAGATGCCTCCTCAGATGCCCCGCCCACATCGTCGTCGCAAGATTAACAGTCGCATAAAACAAAACATGCGTAGCCACCGCCTTCGTAACCACACTAAGCAGGCCTTTCTTCTGAGGCTTAACCTTCCAAAGCACACACGCCGGTACCGCAATAGCGCAAAGAATCTGGGCGCCGAACGTGTTGAGGATGACGATGATGGGGGTCCATGGGTAACGTATCTTGGTCAAGGGGATGAAAGCGGATTCCCATTGGATGGAGGAAAGAGTGGCTTGGTGGCCAGTCTTGAAGAAGTGGAAGGAGCCGAGGAGGCCGAGGACGACGGGGCCGATGGCGGATTGACGCAGGTTGTTCGTGTCGATGATTTCGAAGAGGGAGAAGAGTTGCCAGACTAAGATGCCGATTGCACCTGCGCCCATGGGTTTCTGCAACACGGCGACGGCGAGGTACCAGATGGTGATGAGGAGGGCGTAGCGCGAGCCGTGGACGTTTGCGAAACCGTGGATGATGACTTCTTCCTTGGGGGCGCCGTTCTCGTCCACGCCGCCGTCTTTGTTGATGATGACGTTGAGGAGGGGCTTGGACCAGTTGTAGATTGAGTAGCCAAAAGCCATGCTGATGGCGAGGACGATCTGGGCGAGGAAGCGCTTGGTGATGCGGATGATGTTTTCCCAACCGGGGGCCCATTCACCGTCGTCGGCTGCGTCGAGGGCCCAATATGCGGCGGACATCATTAGGCCGAAGCGCAGCGCGAGACCTATCCAAAGGGTCGCGTAGTGTTGGTAGCTCTTGGTGCCGTCGTAGTAGCTCTTGATGAACGTGGGGATGAGGATGGCGGCGGCTACGGGAATGGCGAGTTGCCATGGTGCGGACGTAGTAGACAATGCGGACCCATAGTATGTAGACTTGCAGTATGGCATCTGCTCTTCTCTGCACAGTCTCGAGAAGCTCGCAACCCTGAGCAAGATCGTGAACAAGATGGAGTGGTAAGCGCCCAGAGTCCGGTCTGAAATACTCTTCCGGCGGAAGGATGAGATAAGCGCAAGAACACCAAAGGTGGTCAGAAAGTACAGGAGAATCTCGTCTTCCCAGATGGTGAATGAGTTGGCTGCGAAGCCGCCAGAGAGCGCAAGAGTGAAGATGACACTCGTCCAGCCCCAAATGCTATTTGGCATCGGAGGCATCAGGCGGTAGCTCAGAGAGTAGAATGTAGAAGCACAGCCGACGATTCCAGTGAGAGCAGAGGAGAGGACAAGGACGTGTGACCTGGTGTCCACTGGCATGAAGATAGTAAACCCAACACCAACGATACCTCCGAGGACCAGACCAATGGCGCCTCGGGTGAAGAAGACGGGAGTGACATCGGCACGATCGCCATGCAGAATCCTAGCGTAGAGGGCAACTACGATCAGACTGGCGGCCAAGACCGTGACACCGCTGACCATCCTAGGGACGTCAAATCGTGCCCAAAGATCGCGGCAGATGCGGAGCGTATCGCGCTGGTAGGCACCGAAAGCCTCATACGCCTGGCGCATCTCATCACTGTTGGGCTTGGACTTTCCGAGCGAGTTCCACACGTCATTTGCGTTCTTCCAGAGGGCAAGCGAAGAAGCCCTTGCGCTATCAGCAATGCCACGAACCTTGGCATACTCATGCTGGTAGTTGTGGATTTGCGCAGCTGTCAGACGGTTGACAGTCGCCAAGTTCTTGTAGTCAGCGCCGTCCTTTCCGATGAAAGCTTCCTCGATGGGTTTTCCGAGGTTGTTGAAAGGTATGGGCATGCCTAAAAGAAGCGAGAGAGTCGGGACCAGATCGATCTGTCCCACTGGCCGGGTCTTTGCGTTGGCCGGAGGGTTGACATAGGCAGGGTTACTGCGGCCAAATACACCCTTCTTCGAGTACATCCAGAGCGCAGCCTGGATCTCATCATCCGACTCTCCTCCATGGTCACCCTTTGCGTCCATACCGTGATCTCCCATAACAACCAACAGAGTGTCGTCATCGATGGACCTAATCATGCGCTGGAAGACCTTGTCCATCTCGCTCAACTTCGCGGCCATGGCAGGGTGATCGGGTCCGTAACGGTGTCCAGCATGATCCACGCCCAGATAGTGACCGAATATGACATCCCACTTGTCGGCATTCTCAGCCTGCAGAAGTGGGAAGATGTGCTCACTCACGCCATGGTCGACAGTGTGGAGATCCCAGACGTTGAACGAATCGTACGCGTGCGTGAGATTCGGCTCGAAATACTCCGGGAAAAGAGCGTGCCATGTGTCGTCACCGAGGTGAACCATCCTCTTGCCCGCGTTCTTCAATTGTCCAATCAAGTTATCCTCAAGAATCTCCTGGCCCGCAAAGTTGCTGCCCACATCGATGAAGGTAGGCAGAGTACCCGTTGTGAGTCCCTTCAACCTCTGCATCGTGGCCGTCGGCGGGTCAGCGATGAAGGGCAAGAGGAACGCGTTCTGAGGCTGGTTCCTCGCCGTCTCGTACAGCACGGGGAAAGCATTGTGGAAATGGCGCGGGGCGATTGGAGGGGCTTGGGACGGGTTCTCGGCTTCGACAGCGAGATCGACGGGTTCGAATTGTTCGGGGAAGGGCACAGTGAAGTCATATCGCAGCGCGTCGACGATGATGACGACTGCTTTGTTGAATGTCTTCGGGTGCCAGCACCCCTTTTCCGCGTCGCCCGGTGTGTACGCGTTCGCAGAGTCGATTGGGGGGAGGGCGCATTCTGACTTGTGGTCGAGCACCAATCGCGTGAGAAGGAAGCCGCTGGTGAAGAGGTAGATACCGAGGATGTGGAGTATTCTGGTAACCATTAGCGATGCATGTCCTGAGGGGAAAGCCGGGAGAGGGCTGAGATGGAGAAACCTACAGTATGAAGGTAAAGAAAGCGACAATGATGCCATGAGCAGCCTTGAAGTGCACCTGCCCAAGCCTCTTCGCCTTATCAGGGTCGTGTACAGCTGTCCGCTGACCTTGCGACGGCTGCTGCTGTTGTGGCTGTTGCGCCGGCTTCTGAACTTTGGGCGCGGTGCTCCGGCCGGCGGTGATGTCGGACAGAGGCGTGAAGACCTCGCCGTTCTCCATGACGGACAGAGAGGGGTGGCCAATTGGCGCTTAGCAAATGCCAAATGGAGATTCGATGGGATTCAAATGGCTGGAGAGGCCTCAAGGAGCGACAGAATCCATGGGAAGAAAGTTGGTGCGCTGTTTACAAAAGTGAGGATGTGTCGCAAGCATCCACAAGTGGATCACCCATTTCGCCGAGCCTCCGATGTCATGCATCCGCCATCGAGGTACGCGCCTCGCGCCCGTCGCTAGCTGTGCTTGGGACTTGTAATACGAGCCTTGACATCATGCCTGCATGCTTCCCGTTCGTACCAGAATACCCAAAGACCCTGCATGCGCTGGTTCATCAGCATCTATCGTACATCACGATCAAATGCACGCGTTTTGTATGTCTTGACAAAGGATTGTATTGGCTCTCATGCTGCTCTGCGCAGTCGCTAGAGAGTGAGTTGTATATCATACATTAGTGAATAAGAGTTATGTAAGAGGTGTAGAAACCTCGTTGAAGAGATGGCCAATCATCAGGGGGTATACAGCAAAATGGCCAGTCAACTCCGAGAATATACATAAATGGTGTGCCCTGCCGGCTATGCCACAGCTTCAGCAGGAACGGAGAAGCTGACAATCAGCGCGGTATTGCCGTCATCAAGGGTAGTCGGTCGTAGCCAAGTGGCTGGGAGGCCCGGGCTGCTAGACTTTCCGTAGCAGCAGTCTAGCCGGGTGTTGAGAGTTCGGGTCATGAGATTCATGAGTAGTATTTGTCGTCCTTCTCCTTCAGTCCGCCCATGCGATCCAGGTCGAGCGAGTCGAAGCGGTCTGATGCGTCGCGCTGGTAGGCTGGGAGGTCCTCTTGTACAGGCTCCAGTCCGACACTGTGGTCTCCAACGCGAACGACGACCACGCGACCCGATTGTTGCTTGCCGGACTCGTCGACCTCGTCGGGGAAGGTGAT